CGGAATTATTAAATTATTAAATATTATATAATTATTAAAATTGAAGATTATAACAGTCCATGATTAAAAAGATTAGACGTTTTGCAGTATTAGAACATGATTAAGGAACACGAGGAAATGTATAGTGGATAATCGTTACTTGGCACATGATGTGTTAACTGCAAATATCTGAGGAATCAGTTACGCTCGCTTCCAAACTAGAATTATCGACACGATAAAAACAGCCGTAAACTAGGGAACGAGGTCGAATGAAACGAATGTTGACTCGTTTTATTGTTTCTGTTTACTGCATCCATTCCTCGAGTTATGTGTCTGTATTTTTATAAAACATGCACATTAGGACATGTCATTCATAACAACTTCTATGTAGGAATCAATCTCTCCCATTGGGCCATCAAGTATTTAGTCGATTTTACTTATCGTTAGGTTCGTTCTTTGTTTCGTACTTCGAATACGTTGCACACGGTACTCGTTTCTTTTAGCCCCGACCTGCCTATAGGAACGCGCTTTACGCGATTGACAATAAACGAAAAATGAAATTACCAGTCATGAATTTCAATACTCGTCCGGCCGTTCAATTTTCAATTTCATTCGATTTGACAGCCGTTTGACCGATCGGTCTTGCGCTCCGCGGTGTACGTGTTCCACAGAGAGATTGGTAAACGAATTAACGTTCAAACAAGTGTTGGCAACTTTGTTTCATACTCCCGCAGTCGAGGTAATCCGTCGAAAATCCTCCGGCAATAACGATTCCATAATCGTTTTCTTATTACATACAGAAAGACAGTAACTGCACTTCAGAAAGTAATCAGTCTTGTTCGATTCGACGCAGGCAATCAAATCAATTGATTAAAATTCGCTGAACGTTAAACTGCTTCTGTGGAACGTTCGACGTGCGATAAAACTGATTGATGATAATTTGTAATCGCAGTCCGGACAAACGCGAGAGGAATGAAAATGGAAACGTAAACGCGATAAATAACTCGACAATGCGTTCCTTCGGTTGATGAATTGATAAACAAATTAGTTTCTCGCAATCAGGGAGGAGTGCATTATTAAAATATTTGCTCCGTCCTCTTGGAAGCGAATC